CGGTGCCACTCCCGGGGCTGTTCCCGGTGCCGCTCCCTGTGCCGTTCCCGGTGCCGTTCCCTGTGCTGCACCCAGTGCCGCTCCCGGTGCTGCTCCCCGTACCGTTCCCGGTGCCGCTCCCGGTGCCCATCGCCACTTGTGGTGTTTCTTGCTGTTTCTGGTGCCCACTGCCCGTCCCTGTTGCTGCTGCCCACTGTCACCCCCGGTGCCCACTGTCACTCCCGGTGCCCACTGTCACTCCCGGTGCCCACTGTCACCCCCGGTGCCCACTGTCACCCCCGGTGCCCGCGGTCACTCCCGCCGCCCACCATCGCTGTTCCCCACTGCTCCAGTGCCGCTGACTCACGCAGCATGGGCTTGGTGACCTCGAGAGAGCCGTCGTGGGGCTCGGGGGTGATGCCCAGSAGCTCGCACAGGAGGGCGTAGACATTGACGCTTTCGAAGGGCTCCACCTCCAGCCCCTTCTTGAAGGCCGGTCCCACGGCACGGAAGATGGTTTTCATGTTCATGGCGTCGTTGTCAAAACCGTGCTCCCCTTTATTGAACTGGACCTTGTATCTCTGGAGGGGAGAGCGAGGACATGAGCACCCCAACCCCTGCACCCCCCTCCCACCTCTCCCACGTTCTGCAGCTGTGGGGTTTGATGTCTGGTTCAGTTTTGGAAGTTGATCTGTTAAACTCTGCAGAAGCTGGAGGTGCCTCCAGACACCGCTCTCAAGCAATTGCATCCTGCAAGTTCCCTCCCTAAACATTGGCACATCCAAATTTTGCTGTACTGAGGAGCTTCCAATGGGAAGCTGCCTGCTGGTCTTGATGCTGGGCCTTCCCTTAAGGCAGGCTAGGAGAGAACCCTGCAATGGATACTCTGAATTTGTGCAACTCCTACTCCAGGGCTTCTGGATATTTTATCTTCTCAACAGCASAGAAGATCTTTACACAAAGAGCTGGAATTTCTGTCTCTGTGTGGGGAGATCAATTAGCTCAAAGGCCTGAAGCTGGGGAGGTGCTGTGAGAGGGAGAGGAGTGAGGGGCACATCCCAAAGGACAGCAGGATGTGCCTGTTCATACACCTTACCCCATGGATCACGTAGCCTGGATCACCGTACAGCAGRAGTGGGGTGATCCGGGAATGGTTGGCGTAGTGGAATCTCTTTGGAAACTCTTCTTTCTTGTAAACGTGCAGTTTTGGGTGGGCATTTTTCAGAAGTGAGTACACATGCTCCAATTTCCCTTCTTTCGGCAGCAGGAGTCCATTGGGTCCATAATCTAAGAGTTCAAAGTCGAGGTCTTTGAATGCAAAGTTGCTCACATTCCCAATGTGGATCTCGTCTTCCTTTATGACGGTCTCCATGCCGTGGTCRGATGTGATGATCAGGTTGAGCTTTGATTCCAGGCCGCTCTCCCGGATCCGCTGCCTCAAGTAACCGACGGTTCTGTCCACCTGCTTGATCATGTTTTTCCTCTGGGTGGATTCAGGGCCAAACTTGTGTCCTGTGGAGTCTGGCTCCCCGAAGTAGAGCGCGATGAAGTCGAGGTTCTCCACCGTGAACCATTCCATCACGGTGTCGATGTTCTKCCTCCAGTTGCTTTCCCTGCTGTAGTTGAATATGGCGGGTTCCACCAGCTTCATGTACACTTCCTCCTTTCCGTATTTTGCTCTTGCTCCAGGGAAGTAGACAGAGCCTGTCTTCAAACCCTGTTAGGGGAGGCATTCCATAAACTCACCTGAGCAGTGTCCTTCCATCCAGCAGGGCAGCCACCTCCTAACATGGTTATTTCATTCACTCCTCAATTCTACCTCTGCCTCTAATGAAGTTTCCTTGCTCATTGCCAATTACAAATGATTAATTGACAGCACTGCCCTTGCACCTGGTTCTTCACTGTGTTTTAACACCAGTTAAAACTTTGGAACCAGTGACCCATTTGCACCTTGTGTGGACTGTCTGGCTCTGGACCATCAAGACATTMAGATGTGTTTTTTTTAAGTCAGAGCAGCCAGTTTGGCAGGTAAATGTGGGCAAGGGTCTTGAGCCAGGTTTCGTGTGCTACCTCCAAGCCAGATTCAAAGCCTGCTGGGTTTGCTGCAGTCCCCAGGGAAGAGGGGACTGTCCCTAAATGCTGCCACCCAACTGCCCTGGCTACATCTTGGGGTGTATGGAACCCCCAGGCTCAGGATGCTCCCGGAGGAACTGGCTGAGGCTCCTTTAAACAGGAGCAGGATAACCTGCTTTATTAACGTCTTAATAAAGCTGAAACGCATCTATTATTTTTTGCTATTTTTAGCAGAATGATCATAATTATTCCTGCCAGTGTCTGGGGATTTCAGTTTTTTGCTGGTCTAATTAGCCTGACGTTCTCAGCGAGGCTGGGAACTCATGGCCACTGGGGATGGTGGCTTGCCTGCAGCTTTTTTTGTGGGATGGTCTGGGCAGAGGTGCCACACTTGCCTGTCTCTGGGCTGTGATCCAGATGGGGATGCTGCCGTTGTCCCACCAGCTGCTGATGCCTTGTGTGGTGTAGTAGGGCAGTCTGGCACCTGTCTTGGTGTCAAACCACATGTTGTGGATCACCCCGTGGTTCTCCACGTATCGCCCTGGGGAGAGAGGAGGGGAGGGCAGGGAGGGGAGGGGAGGGGAGGGGAGGGGTGAGCTGGGCTGTGCTGGGGGCTCTGACCCCACACTGGTGATGGGTGGCTTTGGGCACGGGGATCTTTGGCCTCCCCTTCCTCTTTGCCTCTTCCCACCCTTGCCTCATACTGAGTGAAATCCCGGGGCAGGGAGGGAGTGCTGCTCCCCATGTGGGTTGGTTGATGCCCGTGGGTCTCACCTGGCCCAAGCCAGGCCCTGGTGCCACCTGCAATCTCTCCTGCCCTCCTGGCACAGCAGGGTCCTGTTGTCCTGTGTTTATCTAATCACATTTTGCTTCTGCTGTTGCTGACGAGGTCAGTGAGCAGAAGTCTCCGTTCGAAGGGAGAGATGCACTTTGACTCTTACATTTTGTGCTATTTTTATTTTCCCTTTTATTTTACAGTCCCTTCTGTGTGATATCCCCATCCTCCCTCGTATTGACGCTGCCTCCCTGCCTTTGCCCATCAGCAGATTTCATTAGCATGCTCCACTCTTTTATGCCAAGGTTATTAATTAAAATCTTAAATAAGATTGGCTCCAAAATCGATTCTTCAGGAATTCCCCTGGTGCCCTCCCTCCAGCTTGACAATCTCCTCTCAGCATCCACCCCGTCCTCTTCCTGAAGCCCCTCACTTCCCCACGTTACAGATTTTGTACTAATCTTCATCTTCTCCATCTTAACTAATGATTTCCCTTGTGGCACTGTATCAAATGCACTACTGAAGTCCAGAAAGATTAAATTTAGAGCATCTCCCTTGTTTAAAAAATAATTTATCTTATCAAAGGAGGCTATCGGGTTGGTCTGGTGCTATTTACCTTTGATAAACACAGGTTCAGTTCATGGAATTCCRGAATGGTTTGAGTTGTGAGAGACCTTAAAAACCATCCCATTGCACCTCTCTGCYATGGRCAGGAAYRCTTTCCACCAGTGCAGRTTGACTCCAAACCCCATCCAGCCTGGCTTTGGACACTTCCAGGGATGRGGCAGCCACAGTTTCCCTGGGMAGCCTGTTCCTCCTCAAGAATTCCTTYTCTCTATCTATTTTACCACTTCTGCAGCTCTAAATCTCCGTGTTCTGCTGGGACTGGCTGGCTCCTGTGTCCTTCACTGACCACAACCCTTGAGTTTTCCCTTCCCCAGCCCCCCGTGCCCCTCTCTGGTCCATGGATGGGCACTCACCGGTCAGCAGCGTGAAATGGCTCGGGCTGGTGAGGGTGATGAAGGGAGGGATCATGTGCTTGGCCTTCACCCCCTCTGCAGCCATGGTGTCCAGGTTGGGGGTGTCCACGTCCTGGTCGTAGTTCCACCGAAAGCCGTCAAAGGACACCAGGAGGAGTTTGCTGCGTTGGGATGCCTCCTGCAGGGGGATGCATCTTCCTAARGAGAGAGCAGCAAAAAGGAGCCCCAGCAGCTGGAGCATCTTCGTGCCCTTGAACTGGAATGGCCCAAGTGTCCAGAGAGCTGGCATTAATACGTGYAGGATGGGACTAAGTTCAGTCCTTATCTAATCTTGCAGTTGCTGATCAGGTGTGTGGCTTCAGCCAACGTTTGGTATCAGAATAAGCCTCTCTTGTTTGTCTCTCTGCAGTAGATTAGCTTAAAGTTCCTTCTGGGGCAAGCACMAAATCTGCCTCTTCGCTCAGCGGCGCTGGTGCTGTTTTGGTGTGTGTGAGGAGGGAGGGAGGATGGCTGCTGTGGCTGGGAACCCCAAAACCCTGCATCCCTCTGTGCCCATCGTGGTGTCCTTTCCCCACTCCTGGCTCTGTGGGCAGCAGTTCAGCCTCAGAAGGCGACTCACGCCCCAGGAGTGCTCGTCCACCTCGAGATGAGGGGGCTCAGAGGCTCAGGAGGAGCTTGGATTTCCCCAAAATTCTCCGGTGTGGCTTTGTTGAGCTGCTCTCTGGACAAGGAGGCTCTTCCTGGGATYCTGACCATACATCAACCCCCCGAGATGCTCCTGAGGGTGAGCTCAGCTCTGAAGCCCCCGTGTCCCATCAGCCCAGCTCCCCCTGCCCAGGCTCTGCTGCTCACCACGGGTGACCCTCATCCCCTCCTCACTGCTGAGCTCGGCCCTATCAGCATCCCATTGTGTCAATATCTGCTGCTTTATGGCTTCTCTGGAGTTTAATCACTGCTGACGACTCATTTCTCGGCAAAAGTGAGTTTAAGGCTTTTGTAGAGTTATGTAACAGGGGTTGCCTTAGTTCCCTGGGCTCTGAACTCACAACCTTTATGTCTTCACTGATCTCCCTCTGCTCAGGTTGCAGATTTATTCCTTGGTTTTTACTTCCTAATTGCCTGCAACTCTCCTCATCAGAGCTATCTCTGCCTGRTTTTCCCAGCCCTGTGTGGGGTCATTCCTTGGTGCTTCTCCSCGAGGCTGAGCTGGGTGGATGAGTCTCAAGCACATGGGTTTGTCTCTTCCTGGACAGAATGACATCCCCTGCAGCCCTGAGCATCTCGAGCATTCCCCCCTGGGCTGATTCCTCAGGGTGCATTGGTGTCTCTTCCTGTGTGGTTGTTTCCCTGGTGTGCCATGGGATAATCTTGCAAGAACACTGTGAGAGGTTCAAGCGATCCCAGCAGGGACCTTGCAGCTGACACCAGCTGGAAACGCAGCCTCAGGCATTTGGGGATCGTGGAAATGCTGCTGTGGATCCTGYCCTGAGACCCAAACCCTGAGCCAAGACCTCCTGCACCGCAGCCCTTGTGTCTGCCACCCCAGCACTCGGCTCCCTCAGCTCAGAACGCCTCTGTGGTAGCCCAGCACCCTCCTCTGCTAGCCCAACACCCTTCTCTGCTAGCCAAGCACCCTTCTCTGCCAGCCCAGCACCCTTCTCTGCTAGCCCAGCACCCTTCTCTGCTAGCCCAGCACCATTCTGTGCCAGCCCAGTACCCTCCTCTGCTAGCCCAGCACCCTTCTGTGCCAGCCCAGCACCCTTCTCTGCCAGCCCAGCACCCTCCTCTGCTAGCCCAGCACCCTCCTCTGCTAGCCCAGCACCCTTCTCTGCTAGCCCAGCACCCTTCT